GGGGGGGGGGGGGGGGGGGGGGGCAGAGAAAACTATATTTACGATTTTTAGAGTGTCATTATTAATTATTCTTTGGATATTTGGGACTTTTTTGGCATATAGCACTTACTGCCCCCTGGTGAAAAAATCCTGCGTACGGCCCTGGTTTCGTTAAATTTGAAACCAGACCATGTTTCTAAATTTTTGAGATCGTTTTGAAGCTGTTCGCTAGCTGTCTTTGATGGACTCGGTTTTTGAACAGTTTTGTATCGTCAGCGGCAAACATAGCTGAACATGGCTAGATGTAATTGTATCTGGAAGGTCGTTGACATAGAGGCTGAATTGGACTGGACCGCGGATAGACCTTGAGGCACACATGACGTAACTGGCAGGGTAGTAGAGGTGGAACCTTGTGCAGTTTATACACGCTGATCGCGATTGGTTAGGTAAGATTGAAACCACTGCAAGAGACTACCTCTAAATCTAGCCATCCGTAATTTGCGCAACAAATGTTTATGGTTTACCTTATCAAACACCTTAGACATGTCAAAATACACAGCGCATGCTATACCGCACACGCAAGGATTTCAATTATTCTGTGGGTATAAGCAGGAATTAACTGTGTGGGAATGTGTAGGTATAAGCAGGAATTTATAACTGTGTGGGTATAAGCAGGAATTAACCAACTACTGTAACCATGGGAATCAAAACACGATCATTGACATAGTTCAGAAGCTGGAGGTTCAGAAGTAACGAAGTATAAGTCGTATAAATATGTCGTCCTCATCAGTTAATTGTGGCCTTGTGGGTGATGGATGCCATCCGTACTGGATGTTTTATGTTTGTCAGCTCGATTACCATAGACTCATAGTTTTGTAGAATAAATCATGAAATCATGATTGCTTGTGCCAGAAATCTTGATCTCTTTGGAAGTTAAGCCAATAGCAAAAAAATATATTTGGTGCTTTAGTAATAAGTTACCATACAGTATTTCTTACCATTTTGTTTGCTGTATTGAAACCAGAATAAAGTACAGGAACGTTGTGTTTAATACAGTAATTGACCTTAAAAACTTAGCGATTTGTAAGTAGTTTAGTGCAGAATTCTTTGGGCAAATTTATGGAAAGTGCTTTGTATTCAGTTTATTGCAAAATGCGCCCGATGGCGTAGAAAGGCGAGACGTAGGTGAGATAATTTAAGAATTTTTTCGAATATTAAATTTGAGACTGCATAAATATAATTTATTCATTGCCACTAAATGTTTTTAAATTGTTAATACATTCGTCCACATTTGTCAACATTTAACATTTTATATATTTAACATTCCAGAAATGAATGTTTTTAAATTGTGGCTATCTTGTATTTTAAAAAGTTTTGTTCCTGAAGAGTTTGCACCATGAGCCACTGGTTTGAGGCATATGTAGAACATTTAGAACAAGGTTCGATCAGTCATAGTTAATATAGATCAGTCAAGTGCCGCATACTATGGACTTCCGGGTTGTGGGCTGTACATCAAGGTTAAGAGCTATTTGTTTTTGTTGTCGTGATTTGACCGCCTTTGCCAAATAATGAATTATTACAGACTATTTTGTACGTATTCTCGCGGTACTTCAATATGATCTCGGATCAGGCATCACAGCGAAAAGATATGCTCTGGTTTCATGGCAAACTTTCTCGCGATCAAGCATACCGATTGTTGATAGAAGCTGGTCAACAAGATGGCCTATTTCTTGTTCGTGAAAGTACTAATGCTCCAGGAAGTTTTGTCCTATCATTATGGAACGAGCATACAGCATTTCACTACCAAATACGTCACCATGGACATTGTCATTTCAGTATAGATGAAGGACCTTTATTTGCAGGTTTAGACACGCTTGTGAATTATTACAGGGAGCAAGCTGGTGGACTTGCAACTAAGTTAGTACGATGTTGTGGTGGTGGTCGGTCTCCGCCTCCATCTTTATGTCAGACACAACCTAGTATTACTGTAGAACTTGGACGAAATTTACATCGTGCTTGTGAGGCAGGGGACGATACAGAGGTGCATAGAGTACTTCAAGATCCTAATATTAATATTGAATTCATGAATGATGAAGGCGCTACATCATTGCATGTAGCATGTAAGAAAGGCCACGAAGCGGTTGTATGGATACTGCTTGAGTACAATGCTAATGTGAATAGTCGTGATAATGAAGGAAGAACACCACTTATGGTAGGCATTTGTTAGTACACTTTTTATTATTTTTGTACAAACATGGTTGTGTACTAAAAAAAATCCAGAATTTCGGACTAATCCAAGATTGACCAAGAAGTGGCAAATATTTAGGGCTAGGGGTGCACCGGATAGTGATTTTTACTATCCGGCCGGATACCGGATTTGCTGGATATCTGAAAAAATTCCGGCCGGATTACCCAGCCAGATACTGGATATTTTATCAATTTGAATACTTGACCTATAATATATATTATAAGGATTTTTCTCATCCATGTATTAGTGCAGAAGGTGACACTATTTTAATTTTTGAGTAAATAATCAATTATGGTTAACTAAAAATCTGTTTTTAACTTTTTCCGCTGTTCACATGTTTCCGAAAACTTCCCAAAGTTTTTGAGCAATGGGATTTAGTAGAGCTTTTGGCGCCAAATGCTGCAAATAGTTAATTAATTCAATTAATTATATCAGTGGCTAGCTTTTTTACATGTCCTTTTTTGTGTTTCTATTTATTTAGAATTTTTTATATGTTTCAATTAACGGAAATTTAGTACACTTCATGAAAAACAAATGATCTGGTATCCGGTTGGATAATAGTAAATATCCAGCCGGATATATAGTACGATTTTGTCACTATCCGGCCGGATACTATATCCGGTGCACCCCTACAAATACCCACCTATTCACCATATTCCACATTAAAATTTTCTCACAATATTTTACTTGTACAATCTGCCAAGCAGTAGTGGCAAAGCCACAGGGGGAGAATGGGAGTCTGTGGAATGATGAACTATTGGGGGGGGGGGGGGGCAACACCCACAGGCAAATGTTCCAAGAGCATTTATCAAAACCATTACAGTCATTAACAGTGGGCAAAGCCAGGGTACGAATTAAGGTGTCAAAACAGCTTCGCAAAAATTTTGGTAAATAAATACTGCCTATTTCAAAACCATCCTCAGAAATACCGTATGAAAAACTAGTTACATATTATTCTGACATTGCAGAGCACCGAACC